TTATCAAGTATATATATTTAAAATTTTATATAAATTAAATAAATATTCATTAAATATAAGTAAAAATAGTAATTATGATTTTTTTTGTAATACACTATATCTTTAATCTTATAAAAATAATATTTTTAATATAAATTATAACTAATAAGATATATTATTTTTAAGAGTAAAATATCTTGAAATTAATTTAATAAATATATATAAAATATATAAGATTTAATAATATTATTATAATAATTAATTATTTTTATATTAAAAATAAAATCTAGAATTAATTATAAAATATATTTAATATTTTTAATTTTTATTCTTTTTAGCTTATAAAAAATTTTTAAAGTTTTAAATCTAAAATTATTATATTATTATAAAATTTTTATATTATACTCAAAAAGATAAATTTATATTAATTAAAAGTATTATTTAGTAATTATTATATATTTATCAAAATATTGAAATTATTTGTTAAATTAAATAATATAATATTATTAAAACTAGAAAATAATTATTTTTTATAATATTTATATTATAAATTATATTATGTATTATTAATTTTAATTTTAATAATCTCAAAATATAATTTTTATATATTAGAGAATTTTGCTTAATTCTTTTTATTATATTATATTTTTAATAAATTAGTAATTAATTAAAATATTATCTTATTTTTCTTTATTTTTTTGTTTCTATATTTTATTTAATATATATTAAGTAGTTTTCAAGATTTATAAATTCTTTAATAAATATAATATAAAATTAATAAAATTTAACTCAATTAGTAATTTATTTACTAAAAAATAACTGAAGTATATAAAGTAATATTTTTAAGTTTTTATTAAATGCAATATTAAATATATTATATATATTAATTTTTAATTTTAATAAATCAAAAATTTTAATTAATTTATTAGATATATTTATATAAAAAGCAAAGATATTTAAAATTATTATTCTGAAATATAAATTTAATATTTATTTAAATACTATTTTTTTTTAATTCTTTATATTAATTATAATTTTTATTATTATTTAACTAAATCAGATCAAAAAAAATCTGTCATTTAAATGAAACAAAACATTTTACAGTCAGATATTTTATACAACCTTACATATAAATAGTTAAATGATCAAAGAAATGCATTACCACTTGAAATAAACATAAAACTATCATAAATATAATGTATTGCAATATATATTAAGTTTAAAGATAATCAAGATTCCCTTTTTTAAATACATTTGATTTCATATGTAAATAACGTATAAATTGTAAAATATTACATTTTTTATTCATTTAATGAAAAACTTTTGACAGCCACTGTACTCAACTTATTAAAAATAATCCTTGCATCAATCATACTGGGTATAATTAATTTTGATTCCCTTGTGAGGAATTTTATTCAGTTCAGATACTAAGAAAATCCATTTTTGATATTTCTTGATCTAGCGATTGTTTATGCAATTATGTTAATTCGTGTTAGTACGTATAACGGTAGCATTTTGAGAAACTGACATAATATAATAAAAATATACGTTCAGATTCAGCTATTTTCCTTATATTATGCATAGCAATATATCCTACAAATGTTTGTTAATATTATTGTCCATTCAAAAAATCATAATTTGTCAATGTTACTATTTTTAAAAATTCTTTAAGAAAGAAACAAATTTTTATCACATATTCATGTTCTTTCATTTAGATTCTTTTCCTTCATATTATTATGCAAAGATGGGTACGGAAAAAAATGGTTATCTGTATGAAAGGTTGTGTTACTACATGTATTTACCGTTATCGTTACTTTCTGAGGTTGGATACCAAGAAATAATTCTATTTTTGGCAATCGTCACGAGTTAGATCCATCTCAATCTTATCTCGATCTTGTACATGATTCTGTGTTCGTGATATTGTGTTAACGTTAAAACATATCCATTGCGTTTTTAATGCATATCACGCTTAGTTTTCAAAAAATGGCAGTATCTTTTTGTTGTATTAAAGGACACTTTTATTTGTTATTTAGATCCATGCTTGGTTTTTCAAGATCAAGATTAGTTGGCGTACGTGCTAAACAGGATAAAAGAAAAGCCAATTATCACTAAATAACAAAAAACACTTTTAAATGCATCATGTATTGTGAAATTCTTATGCGTGACATTTTTTGTCTCAGATGACATAATCAATTATGTTGGCGTATCCTAAAAGATTCATAGAAGAGACTTTATTAATTAGACATGCATTTAGCTTTCATTTGTATGGTTTTGTAGTGTTTCCTTACATAGTATCCTCTCCACCGCCTACATATAGATTTGGCAAATTGCATGCACCTTGCATTAAAAGAGCTCTTATCGTAGAAAGACTTTATTAAGTGCACATTTCCCTATATGCATGCTTTGACTGTGTTCCATGCTTACAAGACTAATTATTTTCTCAATATAAATGTATACTTATTAGTGACAACCACTTAGGGTTGGTCATGGGCGTGAATTTATAGAAAGTATCTTAATAATATAATTAACTGCCGAAGGCGTATTTAGAAAAGGGCATGTATAACTTATGATGGGTGTATTAAGAAGATTTCTCCGTATGGTTTCCAAATTTAGATTTACGTATTATTTTTTTACAATAACGTTTGCATAGTTTAAATCAGATGTATAATGAACACTGATGAGAAACATAATACTGATGCATAGAAGAGTTGAACCCCGATATAATGTAAATTTAAAAAAAACATTGAATTTTCTGATCCCAGTATATGCTTAAACCGAGCTTATTAGCTACAAACGAAATAACGACATGATGATAACGAATTTTGCAGAAATCAGTTGGAAATAAACTGAGTTACTATTGCTATAATGCTGGTGACTTTGTCATAATCCAAACCAATCACCGATGAATCAATGGAGTAAACCAAGATTTATTAAATGCAAAGATTGCAAAATTATAAACAAATGATAATAGTAAAGCGTTATATAAAATAATTCTTACACAAGACAGTTTAAAGCAATGCTTCAGGTATTTAATAAAATTAATAACTAGATTAAAAAATGTTCATAAATAAAAAGCTTTCTAATCGAGTGACAAATAAAAGTCACAAAATAAGAAAATACATGTACATGTACTGCATTCACAAACACATATACAGTTCGTCATAAATATTTGGAATTTTGAATGTAATGCATAGAATGATTAAAAATTGTCAAAATTGCCTGATAATTTAGACATACCTTCTTTATAACCTGTAAAACAAGTTTGATTAAAATGTTATTAATAATTATTATTAATTATTATTACACTTTTCTCAATAAAATTTATTGTAAAAAAAATTAAGTCAGATTCAACAAAGATTGAGCTTATATTATTAAAAATAATATTAAGTAATCCTATTATTTTATTATAGGTGAAATTATTCATTATATTACAAAGAATATATTTATAAATTTTGATATAATTCTGACCTTTTTTCATTAAATAATCAACAAAGATATAAATTTAGCTACATTTATGGTTGTTTTTAGTTTTTTATAATTTAGTGGTATTTTTAATGATATAATACCAATATGTCTTAAGTAACTTTGCTCTTCATATAAAAAACATATATTTGAAAAATTTCACAAATTTTATTCATTCTTTATCATATAATTGATATATAAATTTAAAAATTCCGAATATTTATTACGACCACTGTACATATCGGTATAAACTAACGCCCATTATGTGGTGGAAGTTAACGAAACCTGCTCATACTGGTTTCGATTAGGCAAGATTCATAGTAATTCACGCCGTTGATATGGTCTCCCAAAAAAGTGTTTATTAAACTCAATTTGAATTGCGTAAATGATCAATAAGTTTTATTGACGCGAGATTATGTTTGTAGAATTTGTGTAATAAGTTTTTTTGTAGTTTTCATTTTTATAATTTAGATGTACATGTATGCACTTTGATTATCGTCATCTAGATTTATCGTTATGCGCCACATTTTTTTAATTATAAATGAAGTTATGACTTGACCTAACGCTAAAAGGAAAATTTACAATGAGAAATCCCTTTGATTTCACAACATTTTGAATACACAACAATGGTTAGTTGAATTTTTATTACAGAAAACTTTAAATGCATTCTCTAGCCTGGCTCTAATTGTATAATTAAAAATACCTTCTCTAAATGACAACCATGTCAATATTTACAAACTTAAAGCGTATCGTTCTTAATAATTCTCAATCGATATTGTATCAATATAAAATGCTTGACTATATATAAAGGCAGAAAGAAGCTTTCATCTCTCGTTATTAATTTAATTCATAAATCATGTCATATAAAGATAGTGTTGCACTTCTAGAGGTTGTAACGGATAATGCTTCGACAACTTCAAATGGTTGATATTATTAATTTTGTTGACTTCGTTAATACTTGTAACTATCGCTATGCGTAACATATAACGATAATGATTATAATCTTTCCTTTTGCCATATCAGATATTAATGAAAATTCCGATAGCAAGCGCTTTCAAATCAACAAGATCTTTTCGTATAACAAGACAGAAGAACGTAAGAAGACTGCCGGATGAACTTATGATTATTTTCGCAAGTTTTAACTTCATATTTGTTTATTAAAAAATAAGATATAGACGAGCTTTATAAAGATGCTCCTTCCAAAATATTAAAATCCGAGATCAGCCAAAATAGCGATAATGTTGTTACTCTAAATAAAATTGAAGTTAACGAAAAAAGTAAGTTCTATTTTTTAATTTATTAATTAAATAAACACAAAAGATTAATTCTCAATTTTACCTTCAGCCATGATTCGCATAGAATATCACGATCCGGCGCAAAGTCAAAAACAAACTATTGGTTATTTCGAGATAGGCACTAAAGCGAGAACATTAAGGATAATTATCTTGGACGCGCTTAATAAACTTAAACGTAAAACAGAGAAGAAACATAATCAAGCACCATCAAACACCATTTCTTCAAGTTTGCCTTCTAATGAAAGAGAAGCTCATAGCTCGGTACAAAACGACAACATGCAAAATATTGGATACTCGATTGCCAGTTATTCTATTTCTGAACGCATCTGTAGAGTTGCTTTTTCATTTTATAATTTTTCCTTTAATCATAAATCGGATCCTGAATATGCGATCTTTAGAACCGGCAATAATTCAAAATTGAGAAGATTCAATACAAAGGATATTTTTGCATTCACGTATAATCAAGTTGATAATGTCGTGGAACAACTTGTACGATTTCGTGATATAGGAAACGGAATTATCAAATTTCTTAATGAGGATGAGCTCATCATATTACGACGAAATAACTTTAGAATAATATCAATTTATCCTCAACATCTTGATCTGGGAATAAAGAACGCAGTATGGGCCACAAGATCCTTCTTCAAACGAGACACCACCACGAAGAGAGTAAACACGGATCATGCCTATCCACCACCAATGCACAAGCTTTCGAAAAAAGAGAAAATTTCCGAAGATATAGTTGAACATAAATTAAATAATTGCATAATAAATAATTATTTAGTGTCCATCAGCGGTAAAAACAAAATCGAAATATATAACCTTAAAACAGGTGAACTCGTTAAATTGCTTAATATTGATAAACACAAAAATGATGAGGAAAATTCCAAGCATTCAATCGACAACAATTCTAAAATCAAACGATATGAAAACTTCCCTATATTTACTGTTTCTACAGAAGATGATGAAAATGACGAACCGCAATATTTTGCAGCATCAAAAGGTGATAACTCATTCACGATATACTATCTCCCCAATACAATAAATTTAGTAACGCGTGAATTACCTAACAAAGATGCAAAAATCAAGTTTATGGCATTTATTGCGAACAATACAAAGCTTTTGATAGTATTTGAGAAAGAAGCGACATCAGAAACCGAAACACCCATATCATCACCCTCATCATCATCATCTACTTGTATCGAAGAGCAACAATATATGCAAGAAAGGGAAAGTAAAATATATGAAAAGAAAATTTGGATATGGAATATGCCAGGAACCACAAGCTTTGAAGGTTATAAAGAAGAACAGATTTTGAACGGTATTACTGAAAACCTTAATGTTACATTAGAAGAAAGGGACCACGAATATTACGAATTGAAGTTTAAAAACAAAAATGAAGAAATAGATAAAGAACACATCAATGATGGTGACTTTGAATTTGTTAAAACTAAAAATGGAATTTATTTTAAAAAAAATGAAACCTTCAAATTAATTTATCCGTGCGTAATCTCGAAATCGGAGAACGCGGAGAATCAAAACAATGAAAGATTGGATTCAGGAACACAATTAGAAAGTTATTTTGCGGAGAAAAAACTGTGGTTTATCCACAACAAACAAATAAAAATGATAGATGTAAAAAAGACAATTGATCGTAAAGATACCGAAATCGTAGTGAAAAATAATATAGTGCAAATTTGGGCAAAAAACGAAAGATCAAAAACTCTATTAAATATTTGGTCCATTCCTTTGAATTTTTCAAAATATATAGAAGTTCCCACTGCCACCATATTTATTGAATTCGAAGACAACAACTCGGTCAAGATTGATGAAATCAAAGTAAAGATAAAATCTCAAAATGAAAATAGGACAGTTGTTACGGAAATCCTTGAAGATTTCATTAAGATCGAACCGCATGCAATATCTTTACTTGGAATGATAAATGCCTTGAAATTGATATTAAAACAGAGAAAAGAACTCGAGAAGATGGACAGTGAAAAAAATGTGAATGATGCTGCGAAGATTAAGGCAAAACTCACAGAGCTCAAACATCTTCTTCAAAACATAAAACAAACAGCACCGGGAATTATCAAAAAAGCGATCATTGAAAAGGATAATTTCAGAATATTGGATATACGTTTTCATATTGTTGCGACCCTGATCGAAGCAGACTTAACAGCAGTAGTTCGCGACAAAATTTTAACTGATCCTAGTTTACGATTACACATTCCAGAACAAGTCATTCAACATCAAAATAACGAAACACAATACAACTTCGTGTGTTTTCTTCCGAAGCAAATAATTTGTAAAAAGCATCGGAGTGCTTTAATGATTGCAAGTGATCATGCTCAGCATGATACAGTGGAATCTCTTTTGGAATATTACTCTGTCAATGCTAAAAGTCAAATAAGCTGGATGGAAAATGTAACGCAAGCTTTACCAGAATTAATCACCAAATATCCAGGTACATATCCCAAAGGTCATATAACGATATAGTCTTGCACATACTAATCAGAAAACTTTTTTAGAACTTGTGAATAAATTATTGAAGAAGAAAATTTTCCATCAACAAGTGATTCCTCTAGATAAATCATGGGAATTTTATCGACCGAATAAGAAATCTAATTCAGTCCTTTCATTTCATTCCGAATTTAACCTTTTCGATAGTTTTCGTCAAGAACAATTGGAACGGTTGGAAAATGAAAAGCAAACTCACAGCTCCAAATATCGTAAGACGAATACGAAATATTATCAAGTTCCGCTTCCAGGAGTGGTGCAAAGCTTCAAAAAACGATACAGTGATGTAATATTCGACTTTGTTTATAACTTTTTCTTAAATTTAATTTTCCTTGAACGGAATCGTGGCAATAGAAGTCCATTTATCGACCTCGTAATCAACGACAACACTGGTGAAATCTTTGATAACCCATCGATCGAGGCAATTGTCGATTTCCAATGGCGTCATTACGCCAGAGTCTTTATTATTGTCCGGTTCATATTTTATGTTCTTTACGTCATTCTATTTGTGTGGCAAAGCTATGCACATTTAAATAATATTGTGCACGGAATACCGGTTGGAGCTTTATTTAAGCCAATTGCGGGCATAATATGTGTAGTTTC